AGTTTCAAAACTGATTAGTATGACAGTTTCAATAATTAATACATTGCATATTGTTGTCTTCATAGTGATTCTTCATAATTAATATTATTTAAATAAGTATTATTTTAATAATTGGTGCAGGGTCTTGCCATGCAGCTTAGATTCATAGTGATCTTCCTGTCTCATCCTCCAGGGCTGGCTTGGCATGTGGTACCAGGTATCGAACCCTGGTCCGTGCCCTTGCCAGGCAGGTGCTTACACCTCCAAGCTATCTCCCCAGTCTCCTCCCCCACTTTTTTTTTTTTTTTTGTCTTTTTGAGACAGGGTCTCACTATGTAGCTCAGGTTGGCCTTGAGCTCACTTTGTAGCCCAGGATGGCCTTGAACTCATAATGATCTTTGTACCTCAGCCTCCTGAGCACTGGGATTACAGGTGTATGCCACCATGCCCTGCTGTCCTCCTTTTTTGAGGCAGATTTTTTATGTAGTTCAGACTGGCCTAGAACTCACAGTAATCCTCCTGCCTCATCCTCCTGGCTGCTGAGATTACAGAAAGAGAAAGAGGGAAGGAGGGAGAGGGAGAGCAAGTGAGTGAATGAGCACATTGTGGTCATGTGATGGTGTGACATTTGGCACCATACACTACTTGTATTGCAAAACATTGCTCATTTATCAAGTTAAAATTTATTAGAAATATTTGCTCCTCTTAAGAATACTTGCAGAACAAGTTACCCACAACCTAAGGTTTTACGGTACTTTAATTTCCTAAAGGCAAACAGCGGGGCTGAATGATTGCTTTCTTTTTCATTCCTTGATTCTTTATGCATTAGTCAGTTATATTTCTGCTCTTGTAAAGTTAGTTTTCATGTTCTTTGGTATATTTATCTTTTTTTTTTTTGTGGAACTCAGGATTGAACTCAGGCCCTTGTGCTTGCCAGGCAAGTGCTTATTCTATTGAGCTATCTTCTTGGCCCCTGCCATATATTTTTAAGTCTTTCTTTTTGTTTTGATGACATTAATTAGAACCCAGGGCCTCTTCCATGCTAGGCAAGCACTCTGCCACTGATCAACATCCCCAGCCCTTAACTCATTTTCTAATTAAACACTTTTCACTTTTTAAAAATGACTGCTGGGAAAAAATGTGTTTCATTTTTGGGTTGGGAATGTAACTCAGTGACAGCCCTTGCATAGTGTGTACAAGGTCCTGGGTTTGATCCTCAGCAATATAGGTGGGTACTCCCTCCAAAAAAAGCCTTTAATTAAAAAAAAATATATATGTACTGGGATACTACCTGACCATAGGGAAGGATACATTTGAATCATTTGTAGAAAAATGGATACACTTTGAAAACATAATGCTAAGTGAACTAAGTTGGATACACAAACTTACCCAGTCTATGGTTTCTCTCACATGAGAAACCCAAAGTGTAAACATGAAGCAGAGACAAGTTACAGGCAGCAAGGAGATAGATCTTCTGCAAGGGGGAAGGAGATCAAGAGATGGTGGGAGGGGAGGGCAAAGGGACACACACAAGAAGAGTTAAGATTTGTCACGTACATGTGCTAGCTTCCCACGATGAATGGAATCATTACATGTTGCAAATATGAGAACTAAAAGAAAAAGAAATTGAGAGACAGGGAAGAGAGGAAGGAGGAATAAAAGGAACCAAGATATCTGCAGGCCATGTCTCCACCCTCTGAGGTGATTTTAAACAATGATGTAAACACCAACTAATCACAATAATTTAAAAATTCCCCCCCCCAACAATTTGAAATGTAAAATACATTTTAGCCCATTTGCTGTACAAAAACAGGCAGTCAGCTAGATCTGGCCTGCTGCCAAACCCTAGAGATAAATATTTACTAAATTTGAACCATCTTGGTGTTACTGGAAATAATACTGGTTGATCACAAGCTGGATTTGGTTTGTTAATATTTTATTTAGTAGTTGTGCACCTAATCCTAGGTCAGGTTGGCCTACGCAGGGATGTCTGTGTGTGGCATATGTATGGGATTTGTTAAGGGATGTGCAGTATACATACATGTGCAATGTGTGCCTATCTTTGTACTGTGGTGTAGGGTTGTGTTTCTGTACACATGGAACATATACAGAACGATGTGGAAGGCATGCTCTAGGGGGCGCTAGAGTGCTCAGGGCATGTCAGACACAGCCACATTTGTTGCTCAAACTTCCCACTTTCCTGGGGAAAAGCAGGGCCAGGACCAAGATTCTGGCCAGTAGGACAAGTCTTTCTTGCAGAACCACCGTCCAAGCACCCACTCACTTCTTTCCTCTAGCTCCTGAAGAAAAGGTGGCCTGTACCTGTAAGAAGAAGAGGTTTCTGGGGCTCTACTGTGTCAAGGAGCCTTACTAGGTGTGCAGCAGGATCAGCCTGGCCTTGGGGTCTCACAGCTTGAAGAGCTTAGTTCCGGAGTCAGGAGGGGACTGTCAGTGAGACCTTTGTTCCCAATAGGGGGTGAGGTGCCTAGTGTGGGTCTCAGCCCTGTCTACCCCAGGCAACTCTGCGTAGTCCTAGGGCCAGGACCAGGTGCTCACAGCCACCTGAATCCAAGGTGTCTCCCCTGGCACAGAGCTCTGCACTGATCCCTCGTAGAACTGTGAAGAGGGTGGACTGTCACATTGGGCACCTCACGCTCCCCTCCCTAGGGGTCTTCCTTTGCTCTGAGTTCTGAACGCCATACTTTCTAGTTTTGACTCAGAGTGATTAGCTCCTCCTGGGGACACTTGTAGACCATGCTTAACTCATGCTCTGGTCTCGAGCCTGCATGTCTGCAGCACCTCGGTGTCCTGTCTACATCCTGTGGCTAGAGTCTGAGGTTGTTCATTTTCCCTGGCTGGCTGGAATAGCCAAGTCAGGATACCTCCCTATGCAGAAATAATGCTTGGACTCAGACTTTCTCAGCTAGGAAGCGAATCAGGCGTGCCCAAGTCCAGAGTGTGGGTAAGTCTATATGCCAGAGGGCAAGACCAGGAATGTGTCCCTGCCCCTGCTGAGGGCATTGTTGATAATGTGAGGGCGTGGGAGGGAGGAGCAGGGTGAGGGTTCATGAGATACTAGGATACCAACAGTCCACCAGCCTTTTGGGGTTCATTTGCATTTGGTTACTAGTTTGTTGACTTTCAGGGCTCGTTCTCTATTTCCATGTCCCACTGGTGGCCAGCAGAACCTGTGGCATCTAGTTTCCTGCTGCCTCCACCTGCTGTTGCCCATGGCGCAGGTGCAGAGGCCAAGGAAGGAGAGCAAGGTGATGTCCTCTGAGGTAGACAGATCTACGTTCAAACTTCAGCTTTGCCTCTTCCTAGTTCTGTAAACCTGGGCAAGTTGCTTATCCTCTGCCTGAAGTTCTGGTTGTAAACTAGAGCTCTTGCTTCCTACTGTTCCTGTGAAGACTAGAGAAGATGATGTGTGTGAATGCTCAGCTCAGCTCCTGGTCCCTGCTACTCAGTATATATAATTCTCTCTCACGCCCCCCCAGACTGCTCTTGAGTAGAATGCTGAACACAAATATCATTTGGCAATGAAGTTGGAAGACCAGGGAGGAATAGCAACACTTCCCATTTTTAGAGTTACGTGAGACCAGCAGCTTTCCCTCCCACAGTGACAACACTCAGAGATTTGCAGAGCAGATGTCTTGGTGTGAAACCGCTCGGCGGTGGAAGTGTTTCATGAATGTTTGCCGACAGAGCCACACAAGTGCTGACCTTTCTCGGAGCGCTGCCTCCAAGCCTGGGCTCACCAGGAGGAGATCCAAAGTGCCTGCCTCCCTCTGTGTCCTGTTCTGTCCCGTCCTGTGTGTGATGCCCCTGGCTGCAGAGGGGAGACCATGACGCTGCTGGACCATGCTGCTCTGGCCTGGACCTGTGCCAGGCTGTTATCTCTTCTCCAAGAGGAGGCTCTAAAGAGCAATCAAGGAAGAGAGGCTTTGGGAAGGGGCTGCAGCGTGGTAGGGCAGGTGCTAACACATGGATTTCCCTGGGCAGTTAGGAGGGTGTTCCTTCGCCCTTGCTCAGGTTTGATGATTACAGGTCTGAGCTTCAAAGCTGGTTACAAACCCGGTTGTAACTCGGCTAATTGCAGCCTGGGCAGCTGGGCGAGCAGGCCAAGCCCGCCCGAGTGGGCACACGGGGCCGCAGGTCCCTCCGGAGGCTGGTACTTCCAGTCTTGAAGCACTGTGCAGGAACCAGGGGTCCAGGCTTGTCCACCGCCTCTTGCAGAATCCTCACAGTAGGAGCCATGTCTGGTAGCTGGTGACCGTCCTGCTCCGGGGTGTCCACGCCTCCTCCTCCCGTCTGCTCTGTCAGGTGGAAAGCTCCCCATTCAAACCAGCGCTGGCCAATCAGGGCCTGGCGCGCCCGGCCGTTCCAACAGAGCGCTGAGCAGCCCGGCTCCCGCTGGCTCCCACTTGGAGACGCTGGCTCTGGGGCCGCCAGCCTGCTGCCTCGGTTACCGACGGCAACACAGCCGCCTCGGGTTGCAGGCGCTCCCGCCCTGCCCACAGCGGCGACCCATGGAGCGCTCCCTGCACCGTGTCTCCCTTGGGAGCCGGCGTGCCCACCGCGACCTGTCCTTTTACCTCACCACTTTTGGTAAGTGCTTCTGGGGCAGCAGCTTCCTCGGCTCGTGACGCCCAGAAAGGCAAGCTCGCATGGAGAGAGGCGAGGCGGGAACAGGCGTGCTTCCTATTTGGGGGCACCTGCTCTGGCCCTCTCGCTGCGATCGCCCAGGAGGGAGCAGGGCACTGGGCTCAGGCCGAGGAGAAAGACACTACCTGCTGCCTGCGGCTGCTGCCACCCGCCACAGTTGGTTCTACCTCACTTGGCTGGAATAATGCCCCAGTTAATCTTTCAGAGACCCGGGTTGTCATCGCGGAGTTTCCTATTAGCAAGAAGCTCAGGTTAAACCAGGATCTAGTTACTGAACCTCGAGATCTCATTCATCCACTTTTCTTGGGCTTAGGAACCCCCAAATGCAGGGCCAGTCCTGGTGGCCTTGCGTCCCTCAGGGTCACTTTGGAGGCTGGCAGCTGAGATGGGAGAATTTTCTTCTCTAAGACAAAACTGAAGAGAGACCAAGGGCTGTCCTCGGGGGATTAGGGAGGACAGAAAGGGGCAGTAGGCCTTGCCCCCAAGCTCCTGGGTTGCAGGCTAGGTTCCCTCCAATACCAGTGGGCCTGGATAAACCTGGCCTTCCAAATAGCCATGGAGAAGGTAACACTGCTCATCCCTAGAATACAGCCCAGCACAGCTCTTCACTTCCTTGCTGGTCCTGGTCAGTCTGTGAAGAGAGGGTTTGTTTTTCGTATATAAAGACTTGGACCCAGAGAAAGGCAGATCTCCCATGAGCCAGGGGCAGACATGGTACCTCAAATCCTTCCAGGGGTGACCTAAGCAGTACGTTTTTGATCGAACTTGCGTGCAATTTTCTTATAAAGATCAGGGAAGCTATTGCAACAGAACTAGACTTTGCCCAGAGAGTAAAGTCAGAGCACCCAAGGAGTTAGGCCTTGGTAGCTCCCTGGCTCCCCTCCTCTCGGGCTGACCCCTGGCCCACCACCCTGGCTCTTCACAACGAGCTCACCCCTTAGAGATGGGCTGTGGCCTGGTGTCCTAGAATTCTCTCATCTAGGTGTGGAGGACAAAAGGAACAACTCACTAGCTACTATCTGCTGAGCACCACCAGCTGCCAAGAATGTTACCTGCTTTGTGTGGTGTAGTAGTCCCTGACCCTACAAGGGAATCGTGCAATCCCATTGAGATGTGGGGCTCTGTGAGACAAGGGGCATCCCTTGGGTGTCCCACCTGGGGCAGTGGAGTTGGATGCAGGTGGTCAGCAAAGTGTCAGGGAGCTGTACAACACTGTTACCTCAGCTGTACCCTAAGTAAAAAGTGAAAGTGTAGCTCATTTCTTCTTTTAATATTCTTCCACACTTCTCCTTCTCTCATTTGAACAAAACTGAGATAAATTATATGTGGAGTTTTGTAAGCCATTCTATTTCCTTACTGAGATGATCTGAATACTTCTTTGCATCAGTCTATACATACTTATCTGTTGACTTAACCTCCCTACCTGATCTGAGAAGTTGGGGGAACACCCAGGCCCAGCAGGGTGTGTGAATCCTACCCAGCCCCTGCCTCAGGGTTAGGTCTGATTGGTTAGGTCTGAGGGGTATATTGTGCTTGAACTGGTGGCTATGATCTGGGTGTAGAGGAGGCAGGTCACAGAGACCCCCTGCTTCTATTTAGTTTCCTCTTAAATCTCTCCAAAGACACTGATTGGAAAGTTTGCGAAGTTCTCTTCTGTTTCCTGCATTAGCTCTTTTTCCTGTGGTACAACTTGTCATGGCGCTTCTCCTCTAGGCTGCTGATTTTCATTACACGCATCCATACATGAACATTCCTGTCAGTGGTTACTAAACCTGGCCAATTATCAGAAGCATGTTAGGCATCTGTTAAAACATAGATTCCTAGGATGTTGCCCCAGAGTTTGGTTTAATAGGGATGGCGTGGGGTCTGAGAATCTATACTTGTAAGGACCTATGCAGGTGTGGTGCTACATACCTATAATCCTAGCACTTCGGGAGGCTAAAGCAGGACGATTGCAAGTGTGAGCCCAGCTTGAGGAATTTAGTTGACTTAATGAGATTCTGTCTCAAAAACAAAAAAGGGCCAGGGACGTACCTCAGTGAGGAATCACTGGGTTCATTCCCAACCCCCAGGAAGACACACACACACACACACACACACACACACACACACACACACACAGAGCTATAGTAGTTTGACCACCATCCAAATTGCCAGGGTTGGAGGCTATGGATTTATTTATTTACCACATTAATGTATTTGGTATAGGGTCTCACTATGCAGCTTGGATTTGTAGTGATCCTCTTGTTTCAGTCTCCCCAGTACTGGGATTATAGGTGTGCGCCACCACACCAGGTTTCCATGCCCAGGTCGGTGGGCCTGGAGCAGGGCTGACATGGCATGTGTTACTGGGGATCAAACCCGGGGTTCTTGTGCTTGCCAGGCACACTGGTTATCTCCCTGGTGCAAGGCTATGAATTTAGAGTCAGTTGTGGTAGCCAATGTGGATTCCCTTTCCTGTGAAGACCTTTGCTAAATTTGTCTTAATTCCCTGGCTTTTCCCAAACATAGTAGGTGGTCATTGGCCTTTAGCAGTGTGCTTTTCCTCAGAAGAACCTGGTGAAGATGTTACCTAGATGGCAGGTTCCTGAGTACAAACTTTCAGAGAGAATATAGGCATTTCTGGAAATGAAAGATTAGAAGCGTTCCCTTTAGAGCGATCACTGCATGGGGACGCACACCGTCTCTGTGTGGATACCAGCACACCCTCCGCTTCACCCTCCCACAGGGACAGGTTCAAGGAACATTCACTGGCCATCCCACTACCTGCGCGGGAAGTGGCAGACTTCAGGGAGGAGCCTGCAGGCTGGGGATAGGACCCAGCCTCTCTCGAGGGATTTTTTTTTCTTTCTTTTTCCCCCATAATTTTATTGAGAAACAAATAGCAATGAGACAGTTTCAAACCAAATTGGTAGGACAGTTTCAATAATTAACACATTGCATCTATTCTTCCTAGTGGTTAATTGCTGTACAAGATGCGGGCATGATATCCTATTTACAAACACCATTAGAACAAATCCCTCTATTCATTAAGAGAATGTAACTATATATCTATCCTAACCACTTGGAATACACAGATACAAAATGGACATTCATCTGTATCCCCTTTTTTTGTTAAGTTCTGTTATATGAATTTTTTTTTTTTTTCGGAACTGGGGATTGAACTCAGGCCCTTGTGCTTGCCGGGGAAGCACTTATTCCACTGAGCCATCTCCCCGGCTCCTGTTATTTGAATATTATAGGTGTGTAAACTCAGCAAAATATTCTAAGAGTCCAGTCGAGGGATTTTTCTTTTACTGTAATCCCTGGTGTAATTTGAAGAAACCATTAGACGTGTACATAATGTCTTGTCCCAGCATTGTATCTTTTATTTTGATTAGAATATTTGCTAGCATTTTGAGGGTAAAAGCTTTGTAGGGATATACTTCACATATGCACAACTCATTCACTTAAATGTACAAGTCAGTGGTTTTCTCAGTTTATTTTTTTACAGTTGTACAGCTCTTAGCACAGTCAGATTTGTTTATTTATTTATCTGTCTTTTTGAAACAGGGTCTCACTGTTCAGTTCACACTGGCCTTGAGCTCACTTTGTAGCCCAAGCTGGTCTCGAATGCACAACAATCCTCTTGCCTCAGCCTCCTGAGTGCTGGGATTACAGGTGTGTGCCCCCTATACCTCTAGTCAGTTTTAGAACATTTTCATCACTTCAGGAAGAAATGCTACACCCTTCAGCTCATCACCCTCCTCCCCTGCTAGGCCCAAGCAGTCACTGATGTACCTTCAGTCTCTGGAGATTTGCCTGTTTTGCACATTTTTGTATACGTGGAATAGTATGTTTTTCTGTGACTGATTTCTTTCCCTTTATAGTGTTTTCAAGATTTGCTCATGTTCTACTTTGTCAACATGATATAAAGTGCTTCATTCATTTTTATGACTGAGTAGTAATATTCCTCTGATATACCACACTTTATCCATTTGTCTGTTGGTGGATGTTTGAGTTGTCTTTCGTTTTTAACTATTATTTGTGTAGATTAATCCTTTCATTTTTCTTTGGTATGTACTAAGGAGAAGAATTTCTGGGTCATAAAGTAATTCTGTTTAACTAGTTGAGGAACTGCCAAACTTTTGCAGTGTCTGCACCATCTTACATTCCTATCAGAAGTATGTGCAGGTTTTGATTTCTCCACATCTTCTCCAAAACTTGTTATTATCTGACTTTCTAATTTTAGCCATCCTAGTGGTTATCTCATAATGGTTTTCATTTGCATGTTCTTGATGAACTGTTGTTCCAGTTACAACATGGAACAACATGATTACTGACTATTTATGTATATTCTTTGGAGAGAAGTTTGCTCATTTTCCCCTTATTTTTAATTTGAACTATACATGTTTTTATTATTATAATTAATATTATATTTTAGTTTTGTAATTTTATAGGTGTACATAATGGAGACTGAGAATCTATACTTGTAAGGACCTATGCAGGTATAGTGCTGTATACCTACAATCCTAGCACTTTGGGAGGCTAAAGCAGGAGGATTGCAAATTCGAGTCCAGCCTGAGGAATTTAGTTGACTTAATGAGATTCTGTTTCAAAAACAAAAAAGGGCTAGAGACGTACCTCAGTGAAGAATCACTGGGTTCATTCCCAACCCCCAGGAAGACACACACACACACACACACACACACACAGCCATAGTAGTTTGGCCACCATCCAAATTGCCAGGGTTGGAGGTTATGGATTTAAAATCAACTGTGGTCATTTTATTATTTTTATTATGAGTTCCTTATTTTATATATAAGTTCCTTATTGGCCATATGAGCTTGCAAATATTTTATTGCAATTTATGGATTATTAAGAACTTGCTTTTTTGTTGTTTTTTGCGGTACCGGGAATTAGAACTTTTGTAATATTTTTTGAAGCCAAATTTTTTTTTTCTT